GACCAGGGACAGCGTGGCGGGACGGGGACAGGCCCCAGGGCCACGCACAGCCTCAGGAGGGAGCGCGGGCCAACAGGCACGTGGCCTCTGGGTGGGAACGCTGCGACGGTGGGCAGAGGACCGGCTAGTTTCCAGTGGCTCAAGGTTTACTCTGAAAGGCAGTGGAGGCCTTCGGCCATCACAGAGCAGTCCCTGAACATCCGAGGACTCCAGGGTTCCATGGACCACAGTTTGAACGGCCCAGCCAGGCAGGGCTGTCTCCTGTTCCGCCCGCCCCACAGCTCTCACCGGGACAGACCCTCCAGAAGCAGAGGCCTGAGGCCACACCCTCTGGGGCACCAGGAGTGGACCCTCCCAGCTCGCCTGCCGCCCGCTATGTCCACCACAGCAGCTGAGGAGGTGAGAGGGGCCCCAGTGGCCGAGGTGGAGGCAATGGCCTCCCGGACTGCTTCCCAACAGAAGGGCCCCGACCTCGCAGGAGCCCTGGTCACCGCGACGGGTGAAGGCTGCAGAGGCGGCGGCCTGGCTGTGTCCACGTGGAAGGTGCTAGAGCAGGGGCAGGGCCTAGCATTAGGTCCGGGTTCACTACAGAGCGAGAGCTCCACCATGGAAATGCCTGCAAGGCTCCGGGGACACAGGGAGCACTCCGTGTGTCTGATGCTGCTCCGGAGTGTTCCCAACACAGGCACAGACCCAAAGGCCCCCCCTGCACCCCGCAGGCAGGATGCGGGCAGCGCACCTTTAGGTCGTTGTGTAGCGAGTGTCCCACGAGGATCCGGCCCCGCAGCATCTCGGCCACTTCCTTCTGAACAACGGCAAACGCTTCTCCTGAAACCGAACCAGACGCGACAGTAAAGCCCGGCCGTTGTCTGGTCAGACCTCAGGGCCGATAGGCTGGGTTCAGAGCCGGTCCGAGGACACGGGGAGCCATCTGAAGGCCACTCACCCCGGGGAGGGGAGACTCAGGACCCTGGCTACGGAAGGCTCCAGAACAGGGACCGAGAGGAATGTGAGCCCGCCCCGCCTGTCCTCTCTCAGCTCCCGGCTGGGAGTGACCCACCCCGCTGGAGGTGCTCCGGCCGGACCCCGCTGACCGCCGTCCTGTAGTCCGTCACCGGCTGGGTCGGCTTGATGTACTTGTCGTAGACACACTTCCCGTACTGGTTCACGATGGACACGCGGGCGGCGAGGCTCTCCTCCCCCGTGGGGCCCACGCCCACCATCTCGCAGTCCATGGCTAAGGCTTTCGTCAGGCTGCAGGGACCAGAGGCTCCAGCTTAACTCACACAGCAGGACCCCGGGATCGGCACCACCAATGACCAGCTCTGACCCTGGGCCAGGGGGGCACCCCCCCTGAAGGGCCACCCGCCCCCCCGGCCCTGAGGCGCAGCCACGTACCCGCTGAAGGCCTGCTCCTTCACCAGCGCCACGCCGCTCTCCCTCTCGCCCCGCTGCTTCCTTGCTATCCGGGCTGCCTCTGGGCCCATGGCCGCTTCGATATCCACCGGGTCAACATCATCGAACCAGATGTCTCGTCTAAAAGGCAGAGGGGCAGGCTGACTGGGTGTCAGGCTGACTGTGTGTCAGGCTGACGTGTGTCGCGGAGACACCCTCACCGCGCTGGCCCGAGTGCCCAGCTGCTGCTGCTATTCCGATCACAGGACACTCTCGTCACTTTTCTGTTTATTTAGGAAATACACTCATTACCCGAAGTTTAGGAACCGCAAGTAAACAGAGTAGAAAACAGAAACGTCAACCCTCCAGACCCGAGTGACGGCCCGCAGCCCGCAGCGCCGGGGTGTGAGGGTCTGCCTGGTGGGAGTCTCGGGCTCCGTTTAAATGTCACTTCCCCAGGGACCTCTTGCTGACCCACTAGTGGACCCGCTCCTCCCGGAGCAACTGACAGAATTACTGAAATCATTCCAGTTCATCGTGTCTCCCCACTTGGCCTCAGCCTCAGCAGGGAGGGCCCACGGCGGCCACTCTATTTCCAGGCAGCGTGCCCGATGCACAACCACACAGGCCGGCCCTCAGACTGCTCCCCCACACCCCTCGGCAACTGTCCCAGCGACACACGGACAGCCCCGCTCACAAACACGCCCCTCCAGCTGGCCACTGACCCCTCGTCCTCCCCAGGTGGGTGACCATCACAGGGTCTGTTGAGTCACCATGGGGCGCTCAGCCAGCACTTCCCGTCTCACAGACCCCCTCCCACCCAGACAACACTGATGACGGCCGGGAGGCCCAGGGGACAGCAAACCTTGCCCCAAACCACCCCACCAGCAAGATGCAGGAACCGGCTTCAAACTCGGGTCTTCCCGGCTTTGACACTCATTCATTCCACGGGTCTTCCCCGGAGGCACCAAGTGCCCAGCTCCGCCCTGGGTCCCGGGGTACAGCAGCCATGAGCAGGCCCGGCCCTCATTCTGGGTGGGCCCCAGCCCCGCCTCCTCAAGCAGACAGGCTCAGTGGCTAGGACTTTGTCCTTGGCGATGCCCACGACAGGCTGGGTGGCAGAGGAGGCAGTGCCGTCACCACGGGAGAGGCCGCCAGTACTTACTCGGTGGGCGGGGCTGGGGCCAAGGCTGCCGGCGCCTCTTTGGCTTTCCGCTTCTGATGTGTGAGACCCCCTCGTTTTGGAGAAACGTCACCATTTGTCCTTCTCTTGGCTGCTTTCTCCCCGTGCTCTGCTCCGCGGGCCTTGCTGGGCAGTGAGGCTGGAGGAAGGGAGCGCACGGCCGCCTCTCCGCCTGCCTTTTCCGTCCCCGCCTCCTCTCTCTTGGCTTTTCTGTCCCGTCGGGTCATTTGGGGCTGCTTTTTGGAATCCCGCTGAGAGAGAACAAGAGGCTTTCCTGGGGCCGGTGACTTCTGTTTCAACACCTACAATAAAGACACAATTTTAATGCGGACATGACGCACAAGAGGCTGAAAAAACACGTGTGTGTACGTACACGTAGAAGACAGCAGAGGGGAGGGGAGAATGTATGAGTGGCCACCTGGACCAGCACCTGCTAAGCCTGCCCACTGATGCCCAAAAGGCGCGGGTGCAGCCCGACTCCCAGTCCTGCCCACTCGGCTGGGACCCTGGGTAAGGTAACCGGGCCCATTTCCCCGTCTGTAAACGGAGATGATCACGGGGGTCTCCCTCAGTGTTGGCGGGACTTAGGGACACGCTGGGTCCCAGGGCGGCGCGTGCGCACTTGAGAGCTCGGCCCGGGGCA